ATATGGTTATGGTACCTAGGGAACTACCCTAGGATCTATGTTTTCTACATAAAAAAATCCATTGCCTAGGTGACAAGGCGCCTTGAAAACTATGGTTTTATTCAATGTTTGTACCTCAAATAAGGATCAACAGAACTAACGGCTGACCATCATATATAAAATAAAAGAATAAAAAAAATTGTTAAGAAAAAGTTCTCAATCCCCACTACAAAGCTTCTCTCTCTACTCCTTTAGCTACACTCTCAGCAAGGGTGTTGTCTGACCTCTGAAGCCATCTGAACGAGTTTCTTGTCCTGGTTGCCATTGGTCTTGTCTCCCTTATGTGACTAGATCTGCTATAAACAAGATTGGTAACATGGGCTGCTATACCGTATTGGAATAAACATGCCAGTGTTCTGTACTGCTACTAGATGTACCAGCAATTCACGTTTGGTAGCAGATTTGGAATCCCCGTATGTAGAATGTAGCTTCTAAATTTTCATTGTCCTTCCATCTACACTCTAGGCTCGAAAAGTCTCCTACCTTAAAGTCTTATAGTAGGGCCAATATCTCTGCCCTTGTTGCTGTATTCTCACCATCTGAGCCTGAATGTGGCAACCAGATCTTTCATTGTTCCCTTGAAGGCTCTCCCCATACTTGGGGGTCAGGTTATAATGGAGCAGCCATGAATGTTTAACATTTTTCACTGAATACTGCTATCATTCTGTTGTTCCTTGTAAATCAATCCAAATTGTTCAATTGATACAAACTCAAGATAATGGAAAAAGGAAAGTTCCAAATAAAAGATTGTAAATGGACCACTCTTATAAAGTTTTTCCTCACAGACATTAGTTCTGGACCTTCTGGTACAGTCATTTGGTAGCCATACTTCAAGTTCAAGTATGCGGTGATCACAGTTAGAGTCAGTGATTGAACTGTCTACCTTAACAAAGTTGAGTTGATCAACCATTTCTTTCTAACCTCTTTGTAGGATCTTATTAGCTACTACTTGTTAAACTTCTAATGTGATTGATATTTTTAAAGTACTGTGATCTGGAATCACCATTTTTTTTCCCTTTCTTTTTTCCTGTTTTAACTTCAAAATTTTCAGGGAAAAGTGAAACAAATTGTTGGATCTACCCTCCGGGATTTGAAAGAGGACAAGTCAAGTCTTATAACAAATTTTGAATCAGATAAGTCAGCAGCAGAATATGCAAACCTGTACAAACAGGATGGACTTACAGGTGGTCATGTAATAATGCTGGGCGCAGATGCATTGAGTATTTCAGCAGCAATTGAGGCTTTGCATGCCTATCCGGGTAAGATGATGGTTACTATCTACTTCTGATGAATGTCTGAATTCCCCTTCCTCATCTAATTCTCTCATATAGTTAGGTGCTATTGCATGGTATTCTGTCTTTGACTTGGAAGTCCTGTTATTGCGAAGAACTGTACTTATTTATTGAAATTTTGGTGTGTGAGAGATTAATCCAGGTTGATACTGGAAAGTAGCTACTTCATGTTATGTGTGTGTGCGTTTTCTTCTTTTTGTCAAGTACTTAATTACTGTATATGGAATACATGGTCCTTCTGTACTATATATTTTTTGATTGGTAACTTGTAACTTTTTTTATAAGAAAGAAAGAATGAAATAACTACAATCATGCCTACCAACCATCATATAGGCTTGCATAAACCACCTATCTGTTCATTATTGCTTACAATCATGCTTAGCAAACCATCATGGTCTGAAACTTTGATGGGAGTTGTGTGGGTATTAATAGACTGATCATTGAGGGAGACTTGAAAACTGTGATAAAATGGTTGTAGAAGACATGGCAGTTGAGGAATGAATTCAGGTGATTTAAGTGGCTGTCAAGGGACATGTCAATCCATGTGAGATGGGTGAGGAGATCTGCCAACAGCTTGACGGATGGCTTAGCTAAGCAAGGGGTTCAAAGAAGACATGTTTTGGGCTCATTTGTAAATTTGGTTTAGGTCAGCTTACTAAAGCTGGTTTCTTTCACAACTTCTTGTTGTATCCATAATTTTTTAATTAATGAAATTATTTCTTTGTTGCTGATAAAAAAAAAAACTACTCCTTGTTTGGCCATGGCATCAGCCAAACAATTTGCTGATTTGTGGATGCAGCAAAACTTGGCTCCCATTTCTCTTGCTATCACATCTATTTCCTTCTATTATGAAACAAACAAACCTAAGATGACAAATGTTTTTGTATGTGAAATATAACACACATTTGAGTCTTCCACAATGCCCAGCTGAACAAAATAATCCTTAGTAAGAAGGTCTCTATTGGATGTCTAAGTGACAAAAGATTGACAATGAATTTAAAGTGAAAAGTAGTTTTTTCCCAGCTGATTGGYATATTCTTTCAGTTTCTTCCCATGTGCATCATCAAAGGGGAAATTGGGATTAATGTCGGTTGCTCGAATCATGTTCCATGCAGAGGTGGAGCTAGGATCATTCACTTGGGAGGCCATTGTATAAACAAACCTTATAATAATTAAGGAGGGGGGTATTACAATTAGGATGGGTGACATCTCTTACCACCACCAATGTATATGTGGGGTATTTTCAATTTTCTTTTTTACTTGGCAGGGGGGGGGGTCATGGTCCCCCCTTGGCTTTGTACCTAGTCTCATGTTGAACTCTACTTGTACCTCAGTTGTTATTAGTTTATTACTGTTCTTTAAAGGTGGGATTTTTCCATATTTGATATTATGGGATAATGGTTGTTTAAACCTATTATTGCATTCCTCTACTGAAATTACATTGAGGAATGTAAACTTCTAGGTGGATTGCAGGTTGGAGGTGGGATCAATTCAGACAATGCATTGAGTTATCTAGAGGAAGGGGCAAGCCATGTCATTGTTACATCAGTATGTAATTTATGTCCTGAAATGATACCATGTTATTTATCAAGAAAATGTTCATTCAGTGATGGTCTGGATTATTTAGATTTCTTTTCTCCTAAAATATTCTGCTCTTGCTCTTTATGATTTTTATGGCAGTATGTTTTCAAAGATGGACAAATGGACCTTGAAAGGCTCAAAGATCTTGTACGTATTATTGGCAAACAAAGACTTGTGCTGGATCTAAGCTGCAGAAGGAAGGTATGCAAATTCTACCTTTAGAAACCACACACTCACAAACACATTTCTGAAGCCAAAGGAGTTCCCGTATCCACTTAAATTTTGGCACAATCAGGTAAGTGTTAAAATACGGAAAACCAGTGAGTATTTAGCGTTCCATTGACCATGAAAACCAGTAAGTATCATACAATAGGGTACAATACAATACATATTGATACTTTGAACCATGCTTTTAATAGGTTTAAACATTAATGTCCATCTATATAGATGTAGATATATAACCATCATCAATGCAAGAGGCAGCCCACCAGAACAAATTGAATATATTGTAAGGACCATCTTGCACGTTGGTACACCGAATAAATAGTTACAGAAGCTTGAAATCTGATAATGTAATTACATTACCATTTAGGAACTCCAAAGGTTTTGAGAGGAAAACCAAAGAACATTCCCATTGAAAAGTTTAGTTTTTATAACGAGCTTTTGGATTTTCCGAGTTTTCCTTCAATCTTATCAGCAGTTAGTTTGGTGTGCAGGAAGGGAAATATGCAGTTGTGACTGATAGATGGCAGAAGTTTAGTGATGTATATCTTGATGAGGAAACTTTAAATTTTCTTGCCACCTATGCTGATGAGTTTCTGGTTCATGGAGTTGATGTTGAAGGAAAAAAGTAAGTTCACTAATATTTTAACATCGGCATTACAATTTTTTTTTTTTGGGGGGGGGGTTATTTTCAGCAATGATAGCATTTTAATCATTGCCTTGGACTTTATTTAGTGGGGTTGCTTCCACTTATATGTTGTGAGATAATATTGGATACATTTACATATCTGCGCTTTTGCACAGTTAGATACCCCCCCCCCCTTTCCTATGATAACTAAGGTTGAGATGCCAATTGTATCAATTTCAGTCATTGCATCTACTCCAAAAATAATTATCACTTTAGAAATGTGAGATTTGGAAGAAAAAAAGGTTCCTGGTGAAACTTATGTTTTCATTTACTTGATGGAAACTCTGCCTTGCTTTTTCATATTTGCCAAATTACAGAATACCTTGATGAGTCTTAGTTGTATACTCTTCATGTAATTCTTTGCAGATTTGATTTTTGATCTTACACTTTATTCATCCATTAGCTATTAAAAATGAGATCTTTGCTTCCTCACCTCTGTCAACTCTTAAACTTTTACTAGCAATTATGCTCTTATATAGGACTATCAAGAGGTTAGGCAGACCCTAATTGAACTAACCCAATTATATAGGGTCTAGGTCTGCATTATGTGTTCTGATTATAATTTGGTTGGGATCGGTTCAGGTTGTTCCAAACCAATTAACGGGCAGACCCTAGCTGTTGATCATAATCGGACCTTATTGGGACAGACTATGGTTTGGAACTGGTTCTGCACATTTACTGCTTATCAGGTTGCGACTGGGTCTGCCCTGAGCAGGACCCAACCTGACCCACTGATAGCACTTCACTTCTATCTTTTGCAATTTTCCATCTCTGCCCTTCGTCCTCTTAAATTGTTATTCCCTCGTTGATGTACTCTCTTCTCTCTATGTGCTAGTCTCTCTCCCATTAGAAAACCCTATCTTGTTCTTTCCTACTTCCTATTCATGCCATCATCTCCACATCTCAGACCTTTCTCCTTCATCTTTATTCTATTGAAACTTTCCTCTTTTTATGCATCTCTAGGTTTTCTATTTATTTTTACTCCTCTCCACCTCTGTGCCTCTAATAAGTGGGGAGAGAAAATCATGGAGATGAAGCAAATGGGGATTAAAGTAGCGAAGAAGGAAATCTGCAAGTGATTACAATGAAGATGGAGGAGATGAAGTGGGAATAGTCTGAGCTTCAGGATTCTATCTTGGTCTTTGGTTTGGATATGATGGCAATAATAGTTAACCGTCTTGATGCACACATTGTGGTGCTCACAATCCTCAACCCCCTCTTTCTATTTCTTTGTTCTTCTTTTCTATCTTTGTCTTTGTTTTGGTAGCAGTTCAGCTTTATTATGTTTTTTGTCCACATGGAATGAGAATTTGACCACAATTTTGTTTTTCTGTTTCATATAACAGTCATATTTGCATGTATTTGCTTCTATTTCACTAAGACATTTTTAGCTGTCTTTACAACTGACCCAGAAATGAAACGGCCTTTCCATCTGGGTGGTGGGTCAGCTGTTCAATTTGCGACATCATAATTAAATAATAAATAGAGAAAATACAGAAAACTTCTAGAAAAATTGGGCATATTTCTAATATTATATATTCATCATATTAAACCAAGACAAGTTAACAAATGAGAATTATTTTTGTTAATAATGGAAATGACTAAAAATACAAAAAGACAAAAAAGAGAACTAATATCTAATGCACACAGCACACATTTTCTCACTTTGTAATAAGTAAACACGATGTTGGAGTTGTCGCTATTCATTTTAATGATTTGGTTGGCAGACACCTCCCGTTTTTTGGCTTCTTGTACTATTAARTCCCTCTGCTAGAAAAAGATGTTGGAGCACACATTAGACTAAAAGCATCTTTGTGTTTGCTTTCTAATATTCTTTTCATAGAGAATTTGATTACAGTATCTTGTATATTTCAGGCTAGGAATTGATGTCGACCTCGTGGCATTGCTTGGGAGGAGCTCACCGGTGTGTAATATTTGATTCTATTGTACTTTTGTTTCTTCCTTGCCTCCAAAAAGTACCTTAGAAGGAATCCCTTAATGAATGCCATATGATCTAAGCCAAATGCACTAGCATCTGAACGAATTTACTTCTGTTCTTCTTGACTCAATGTTATAAAATGCCACAAATCTTAATGATGGTTGAAGTGCTTTAAATTAATTATGATAAAAGGTATGCTACTTGGCCAATTGACAGTGAGTTCTCTCAATAGAAAAGAGGGAAGTCATCATATTGCCAAACATGTAGTAGCTAAATTGTTAAAAATACTGCTAAACATTTATTTCAATGTTGTTTGCATTTATAAAGAAAATCCTATGATTCTAAAATCTGGAATAAAAAATATCTGGTCACCAAAAGGGAAGATATCCACCATGTAATTATTATTTTACCTATGGGCATATTTATGGGCAAACTGGGAATATTTTCATTCCAATGATACATTCATCGGTGGCTGAAAATAGACTTCTCCAGCCAATAGATTTAAGTTCTTTCATTTCTGAGAATTATGATTTATGTATTGCTCTGACATTTATGTTTTCCTCATTCTTTGTTATGGTTTCAGATTCCGGTGACATATGCTGGTGGAGTCGCAACAATGGCCGATTTAGAAACGATAAAGGCATCGGGGATGGGACGAGTGGATGTTACAGTAGGGAGTGCTCTGGATATTTTTGGCGGTGACTTGGCATACAAGGATGTTGTTGCTTGGCATGATAAGCAGGCAGCTGTGGCAGTTTAAGTTTGTTTGGTTCAATTCTCATTATTGCTCATTATATTTAATAATAAAATTTTAGAATGGACAAAAATTGGTAAAAAGTGTGCAGAATGAGAAAATGTTGCTACAAACCAAACTCTTTCCAAAAAAAATCTTTTTGTTGGTGTGGCTTCTGGTGAATCTGCAGTCTAATGCATGCCAAATCTCTTATCATGTTTTTTCTTGGTAAATAAGTTACGATATAACTGGTTGTAGGAAACTAAGGAATCCAGAGTTGCTCTTCACAGAGCGTTCTTCACACCAATCTCACAGAGCGTTCCCATACTTGTATGTTGTCATTGATGGGGAGATGTTTACAATTCACATATGTGATATGCTGTGTAGTTGTGTAATTGGTGTGAAAAATTCTCGGGCAAATCTGATATTGAAAATAAGATCAAAATTATTCCAGGTTACACTTAAATTTGGGAAACTGAGAGTTTGGCGATTCATGTAAATTAGAAACAAGGAAATCTGTTGGTACTCATTGCTCCACTTTTGAATTAAGGAATATAAGAGGAAACTGAAAAAAAAAATCAGTAAATCAAATTGTTGGAATTTGAATAGGGAGCATTTTGGAATTTGGACTCGTTGAGAAATGACTTGCATACGGCTTGTTAGCGGTGGCAATTGGGTGGGTTGGGTTGGGTTTCGGTTGAGTTAAACTCAATCCATCTAACCCGTTAATCCATTAATGACCTAGTTATATGAAATTAAATGAGTTGGGTTCAACTCAAACCTGYTTTAATTCAAACCAATCTGCCCAAACTCATTAATTTTATACAAGGTTTAAAGTATCAGAAATGCAAGGTGTATCGGAAAGGTAATTTTAAGAGATGTATCGAGATACGCTTTGGAAACGTATAGATACGGACGAAAAATTAAGATATGCATTGATACACTAGAAAATCCAAAAAAAAATCATTAAAAATATGAACAATAATAAAAATGAGTTTTATGTGAGTATAATTAATTTATTTAAACATAAAAACCATTCTTTAATGATTTATATAAAGTACCGGGATATAATTAGTAACCATTGAAAAATAATAAAAGAACTAAAATGTGTGTGTATATACTAATATTTATTAGTTAATATATATTATATATATAGATTTAGATAATATTTATTATGTATATAAGTTAATATATACCTTAATTTTTAATAAGTAAATATAACTTGTATTCATCTTATTATTATATAAATATTAATAATCAAATTTTTAGCATTTGTTGAGAAACATCCACCAAGGCAAGAAAGATTAYTTTAAGTATAAAAAAACATATTGTTCTAATAAGTAATTAAGGTTGGCATAATGGTTAATTAATTATTATTGTAACCAAATGATTTGGGTTTGAAACATGTTATTTTTGGTTTGTGATTTTTAACAAGTTATTTCACTTAAATAACATTTAATGACATATTAAATATTGTAATTAAAGCCTTAAAGGTAACTTAGATGAGCATTTAATTAAATTATATTAGCATTTATTGATGTCTCAAAGCTTAATTAAAATTGATATTAATGAGAGAGAGAAGAGATAAATTAAATTTAAATTTAAAAGGGTGAGGGAAATTAAATTCGGCTGATACATAATGCGTATCGGCCCTTTTCGGGTATGTATCAGTGCGTTTCGGATTGTATTGACCGATACATATCCGAAACAATCCGATACGGCTCTGTATCAGTCTGGTAAGGACGAAAAAATATGAAACAATCAAATTCTACATGTTCCGTGTATCGAAACTCTTCTAAAATGATACGCACCTGTATCGGTCGATACATATCCGAAACAATCCGATACGACTCCGTATTGGTCTGGTACGGACGAAAAAATACGAAACAAYCAAATTGTACATGTTCCATGTATCGAAACTTTTCTAAAACGATAGGCACCCGTATTGGCTGATATGTTGCGAAATTTAAAACCTTGGTAGTTACTATTTACATAAGTGGTGAATGTTCAAATCACATTACATGCATGTTATTTTTACACAAGCGGCGAAGCCATTTGACTATGTTCGGATTTCGGGTTTGACCAAACCACTTAGGTTCAAACTACTCAGACCAACTTGAACTATCTAATTGGACTATCTTCGAACTAATCACATCAAGGGTGGTTGAACCGTTTATATCTGGATCAGTCCGGTTGGACCGATTTAGTCAATGGTGGATTGACTTGGATCAGACCATATCGGGCTTAGGACAGAACCGACTGACCCGAAGTGGGTCAATGTAAGTAAATCGGGTTGGGTTATGTGGATATTGGTCGGACAGACGGTCCAGATCGGGCAAAGCACACAAACACCGAATCATCTCGCCCGAAACCATTTCARATTCGGATTGACTTTGATAAGCTTGTATCGGGTTGTGTGAATACTGGTTGGGCCGGAAGACCCAAACCAGGCAGAGCAAGCGGTACCGAACCATCCCATCCGGGGTCTATTTTGGATGCGGGTTGAACCGCTTCAGTATATGTTGGATCGGGTCAGACCGCGTTGAATTGGTTCGGACTCGGGTCAAATTGATTTGGATTTATGTTGGGTGAAGTGTATTGATTCAAGACAAACTAAATTTAGTCAATAATTAATAGAAAATTAATGCATTATTTATAAATTATTTAATTCAAATGAAGAAAATTAAAAAAAAAGGCTAAGGAACTAATACTTATGTCTATAATGATTAAAAATTGTGAAGTAAATGGGCGGGTTGGGTGAAAAATTGCCACCCCTACGGCTTGTTACCTATATGGTTCACTAGTGTGGGCTTATGGAGATGAATAAGAAACTGGGCTTAACTGAGACTTGGGTCCCATACTCGCATGCAATCAAATACAAATAGTGAGGGGCAAAATTGGTTTTTTAAAAAGTTACAAGTCATGTGCAATCACATGCCGACAGAATGTGGCAACGGTAGGGGAGAGTTAGTCAATTGTTAGAATGCCTAGGGATAGTTAAGGGATTCTACAAATAATAGGGATAGTTTTAATCTATTTTCTAAAACTTATATTAGGGTAGTTTAAGAGATTTGTCCAAATAATTGATCCAAGAAATGCAATCCGGCAATGTGGGCTTGGTGACCGATCTAAGCCCAGCCCATTTAGTTAACAATCAACAGTAGCAGCCTCTTGTTTGAAGTATCCCTATGATTTAGWAAATTGACTAACTCTACCTTTAGTGTTTATATATTGGCTTAAAGTACCATTAAGCTTTTTTGGCAATTGGTATTGTTGTTAAGTATTAACGAATGAAATGAAATGTCCAATTTATCCTCCATTATTTTTCAAATTTTCAAAATAAAACCCAAATGAAATATTTGAAGAACTATAATGCAAAACTTGAACTTTTCTTTTATTCATAAATAACCACAACATCCATTAAATTGAAACTCCACCTTCGGCTTGTAAGCATTCTATTTACTTCTCCCACAGTCCCGCTGAAACCACTTTCAAAATACAACCAAATAATTAAAACCAAATAGGTTACATGCCAATATGCCAGGCTTGTAAGCATGAACCAACGATTGCAATTCAGTGTTGTATTTTGAGACATACAAGTGAACCTAGCTAGTTAGCTGATTCCCAATTTCAGACTCTGGAATCCAAGGCCAACAGTATTTTCTTCCTGCGACCCATGGGAATCCATAAAGTTTTGAGATGTCGTCAGTCATGTTAACCAGAGCAGTCATGTCAATTTCCTCTGCCTGAAAAATAATCAAATACTTTTCGAGACTTAGAGACTGTATGAAGCCATCCACTGATTTACCATCCTTTGATTGAGTCTTTTTCTTCCAAGCAGCTGAACTACTGATTTGTCCCAGATAGTTTCTCAGATCCTGGACACCTGCAATAGTACCCTTTCCGTTCTGATATACTTTCTGGGGACCCTTCTTTTGGAGCTTCAACATCTCTTCTACCATCAACTTTGCGATTTGATGCTTGTGGTTCATCCTCCTGATAAAGATCATGCTCCCACTCGACACTTGTCATTATCATTCAGCCGCTGCCTCTTGCCATTGGTTTGTCTCTTCGGACTAAAATTTTAAGAATTTTTAAAAATATATCAATCACGTGATGTCACATATAAAGAAAAATTAATGATAAAGAATGTTTTAGACAATTATCAGAATATGTAAATAGTAAGGATAAAGACGTAGAGTTAGCCAATTTCCTAAATTATAAAATACTTTATAAAAAATTTGCCTATTAATAATTTTGGTAGATTACAGACTGCTACCACTAAGGGTATAGCCCCTCAAATTTTGTTTTGCAACTAAGACCTGAATTTTTAGATTTCAGTACTTTGCCCCCATTAACAAGGTTGATGTCGAACGTATAATTATTAAATTACCCATTCAAGATTCAAATGTGTTGAGAGAGAAAGGCATCAAAGTGATGAAATGGGTATACTAAAGCACAATATCTCTTTTGAATTGAGTTGATGTGCTTCGAAACCCTATTTCTTCTTCAAGAAGGGTTTTTGAACTTTCAAGTAGATCAACCTAGTCCAAAAGAAAAAGAGGATACCATAGTTCCTAGCCCATCAACTCTTAATTTTACTTTCATAGTCAACCCCCCCCCCCATTAACGGAGTCGGGGTAAGGTGTTGACATCCATATATTTAGGGGTCTTTATCGCAAAAAACAAAATTGGGAGGGGCCAAGTGTTACCACTCCTATGTACAAAGGTAGGCTTCTGTATTTTACCCTAAAAATTTACAACAGTGTGCCACGCAGGCCACAGGGCCCACAGCTACAGTGTATGCATGATATATGAGAATAGGTTATTAGGAGACATCAACATCACTGAGCCACCAAATTGGCGTATGGTCTCCCTTGTGCTTTGAATGGATATGGGCCCACTCCCTTGTACTTTTTGGCTTTGCAGGTGAATGTTTGTTTTAGTTAGTTTCAACACAATTATCTAATTGTTTTGGGTTGTTGTTTAGCAGAAGAGGMTAGCTCTAGCCTTCTGTTTTTATCTTGATTTTCGCACGTGTGAACTCCAAGATGTCTCCACGTCATCTTGTTTCCCCCGTGGGCCGTGACATGTCCATGTCTTGGTCCAGTATTGGTCTTCCACGTGGCAAACAAATCGGTTGCAACTTGTGGTTTACAAAACCATGGGAGAGTTGGGTCTCGACTCGAGTTATCTCGTAGTCATTCCCTTGGTAAATAAACTAAACAGACATCAACATCGGTCGGAAATTAACAACGTAAGCCACCCATTCTATTAAACCGTGCCAAGCTTGTGGCTGAGTCAACCCAACATTCCGACCGGGTTTCAAACAATCACCCAAGATGGGTCCGACCAGACAGAAAACCCGAATTAATGCTCACTGGGTCACAGTTTTACTGGTTAATTCGGCTGTTAACCCGATTTTTTTGGTAACCCGTTCAAACCATGACTGGGATTCGTGAAGGTCATTGGGTCACCGGTATTCGGTTCAACCGTCCGGTGCAGTAGTCTTTACAACACTGCAATCGCCCATATTTTCTTTCTTTCTTGTTGAGTCGACTCGTTGACTCGGTTGATTGCACCCCCAGACAACATCATTAGCTGTTTGAAGTTTGAACGTCTATATTTCGATTCATCAAGGTACTCACGACTAAGCGACCACCACAACCACCACCACCACCACCATCTTCCATGGAAATAAGTATTAGTATTTGGAAATTTCGTTAGCATGAGCTTATGCTCTTATATATGATCAATATAAGGACATTTACAGTGTTGCTTCTTGAAAAGCAGAGATAAAAAAAAGGAAAAAGAGCAGAAAAAAGAAGACCTATAATAGCTATATATGTATTTTAGTTTAAACCTAACATTGCTTTTTTGCTTTTTTTTTAGTCTCAGAAGAGGTTAGAAAGAGAAAGAGATTCAAAAACTCTAACTTGAATCAGTCGTCATTTCTCCTTCTGGTATGCTTTCTAACACAGGCCTCCACCCTTTACAACATTCAGTATCATCATCAACAACACCAACTTCGCTCTGTCTGCTCTGAAGCTGAGAGACCATCTCGTCAACCGAGACTCCTCCTTTGGMTAGCATCTCCCTGAGCTCCTGCTTAGTGATAACCAGCTTAATTCTCACAACACCAGCTTCACGTCGAGGCTCAGCAACATTGGTGGACGGCAGAGGTGGTGGGAGAAGATAATAGAGACGGCCACTAAGCATCTCTGTATCAGGAGGAAGGTGGCGAAGCACCGGAAGTGTGTCGGAGATGGCGTGGCCGGCGAAATCAGCTAACACCTGATGAACTCTGAGGGGTGCTTGATACTCAAGGACCTTMCCGTCCGTCTTCATCACCTTGATGGAGTCCCTGGATAGAACTAAGCAGTTCCCCATGATTGGGTCTCTACGAAACAAACTGATTAAGCAATTTCAGTTAGGATGAAAGCTTGTATTTTGAGTTGAAGGGTGGAAGGAGAATGAATGAATTGTATTTAAAGGAGGAAGTCTACAAAAATACCCCCTTAATGTGCCTCAAATTACAGGAATTAAAGAGCTTTGTCCTTTGACCCCACCTAGTGATTTTCTTTTTGTTTTCAAGTAGAGAAAAGCCTTACTCTACCTTGACAGCCTGACCCCACTCTATAGATTTTTTTTGTTTTCCTTGGCTTTGGCAGATTAAGCTATATAGCTCTGATGACACTAGAAACTTGTAGCCCTGAATGCCCTAGTGACTTGAAGCAGAGTCATATCCCATGCCCAAAGGCCAAGAGTCCAAGAGAGCATGTTGCATTACAATAGAGCTCCTCAAATTTCACAGGCTAAGTGGATTGTCATTCTACCCACCATTGCTTGTAGTGGGAGAAAATTTTGGATTCATCAATAGGACCACTGAAAACCCTAGATAGTGGTTGACCCCTGGGACAACTGATCATGTGGTTAAATTCTGAGTTGACTAATTTTAAGGCATGATTGACCATTAGTTTAAATTCCATCCATTGCTTAACTTCTGATCCATCCAATATAATTAGAAGCTTAATTTCTATTACTTGATTAATTATTCGATCTATTTTTGTTTCTTTCTTTGTGTGTTGATGAAGGAAATCCATAACATGCCAATTCTTGGATGCATTTCAGTTAGATAAAAGCTTTTTGGTGGGACATGCCAAAGAATAGCTTAGTTGGCCCAAGTTGTTACCATGTAATAACACCATTTGGTTGCACATACTTAAGATGAAGGAGAATGCATGAATGATTTCCTGAAAATTGATATTCTCCTTGTTCGGTAGAAATGTAAAATAGCATTGGAAAATAAATATTTTTAAAAAAGTGAATACTAATATATTGTAGCTAGGAAAATGGTTCCTTCTATTTTACCCCACAAGTCATTTTCCAAACAAAGATTGCTCTCCTCTCGATCTATCTTGCAACATTTATATATTTCTTAACTAATCCGGTTCTTTTTCAAGCTAATTAAGTGAAACAATGACACAAGGAAAATTAGGAATATGTGATTCATTTCCCAAGAGAACCATTAGTTCTCCTTCATTTTAGCCTGGCAAACATCAGAACCCCATAAACAAATAAGATTTAAACTCATAGTGTGTTACAATGGAGGCTGAATGTGATTAAGGGGGTCACTAGGTTAGATAAATTAAAGAACTGTTTATAATTAGTTTATTAGTACTGGATTAATAGTAGTTATATTATATTAAAAGAAAAAAATGAAAATGCAAGCTAGCTAGAGACATTAGAAATATGGCAACGGGGCGTGGGTCATATTCCCCATCTCTGACCCCCGATTTTGGAATAAATCCCCGTTTTCAACCCTGGCCCCCCATTAGGGATAAAAGTTGTCTTCCATCCCTAATCCCTGACAAGGACGAGTTCTCCACGGGGGCCCGAATCCCTGAATTTTTTTAGTTAGCAGTATTTTTTGAAAAATAAATTTACTTAAAATAAATGAAAATTTTAAAATATAAATAATATTTTAAATATACTTTGAAAATATAAATAATGTCATATATAATATATATTTAATATGGATAATATTTAATATATAATTGGAGTCGGGGCGAGGCGGGGACCGTATTCTCCATCCCCAACCCTGACCCTAATTGGGGATCCCTATTAATCCCTATCCCCACCCTACCAAAACAATCCCCATCCCTGACAACCCAACCCCATCAGGTCGGAGAAGTCGAATTCTTGCCGGGAATGAAGAAAAGTGCCATCCCTAAACAGTATGCTCAGGCCCATGGGGGCATAAAACTTTAGAAGTACCGACTACAATCGACCCTTTTGTCTAGGAATCATGAATGTAGTGGAGGCAGAAGAAAACAAGCATGTCAATGGGTCAGGTCAAGATTTGCCACCCCTAATTCAGGTTTTCTGGTTTTCTATTTTTAGGGGTGGAGGGCTGCTGGGGGTTGGAGTATGCCTTCAAGTAATGCTCATCTGTCATTGATTATGAAGATAAAATGGAAGAAAAAGTGATGGCTCTTTATTATTTCACTGTAATTTGATTGTGTGTGGTCAGAAATACAGTTGAGATAAGGGCATGATTCATTCATGTAGAATTTAGAGAAGGCTTGGTTAGTGCGCTAGTGATGTTGTCAACACGCATGCTGATGCTTGGGTATTTAATTATTGGACGCAGTCATCATAATTAAAAATAAATAGCTCATTCATCAGACAAGGAATTCTAATTTCTAAGGGAGAAAATCTTTGTTCTACACACCTAGGACCCGTTTGCTATTTACCCAAAAAGCAAACATGTCTAGGGCCTGTTTCTTGTAATCCATTAACGCTGTTGTCTGTAAACCAAGGTTTAAAGTATCAATATGATATCAATATCGATCGATGTATATATTGTATGATATTATATATCGATGACATCTAACTACTTTTGAAGGTTATATAAATATCATTCTTAGAGATGTCTTGGTTCAATTCTTAAAACTTAAAAAATATTTTAATCTAAGAGTATCATCCCTTTGAATCGTGTATCACGCATATCGGTACTTTGAACCTTTGTTGTATACGTTGCAGCCATGGCCATGCTTAGAAATTTAATCGACTCAATTGAAAAATTGCAGCCTATGATTTCAGTTTTTCAGTCTGTTGGATCGTTTGATCTTGTTGGCTAGCTTTTGGTTCCATTCTCCATGTTTATACTTCAAGTAATATTATCTTATAGACTTTATTTATAATAGTTATGATAAGGACATCAGATTATTCAATGAAAGAAAGCTTGTAAAAGAATATTCAAAAAAAATTAAATCAAAGATTGCTTAGGCCACGCACTAGATTTCAAAGAGTGATTATGGAAAAAGAAATGATGGGGTTTCTTCTATTGCCCAACCCTCTCAAGAATTAAATAATAATTAAAAACTATACTTTTCTATCATCTACACATGCGTGCTTCAGTTGATCAACCATATGGTCCATATTAATACAACTGAGGTGGGAGGCAGACTATCTGTAATCTGCTGAAAGAGACCATTGAAGAAAAAAAGAAGTAAAGAGAGGGATAAATCCTATCTTTGCCTCATTTTGAAGTTCTTCTAGAATGGGGAGAATCAAACTCTATAAATCTTCATTTTGATTAGAACAACCAAACTATATATTTCACCACTTAAGGAGGAACATTCAGGTCTAAGAAACATAGATTCTATAGAATAAGCATGATTTGCAGATGGATTTATTTAGAACTTAAAGCTTAGTTTCTTTGCAAAGCAATTTCATTTGTGATGGTGTAAAAGCATTGAAGGTACAAATGAGTTGAATGCAAATTTTGATTTATTTTTATTTTAAATTTTATTGTTTTGTTTGTTTGTAATGTGAATATAGTAAACTAAATTTTGAAGCAAAGTAAAATCCTAAACAAAATTGAAACTGCAGACTTGTCCTATTCTGATTTGTATTTCCATACATATGTACTAGTGCAAATTAATGAAATTGGATTGCAATAAATGAGCCTAAAGGGAAATTGGGCCTCTACTCATGTAAGAGATCTCCTTCTTCCAAAGTAGTGCAGGGGGTGAGAAAATGGTTTATTTGGTTAAAAATCAAACTTAATAGGCCAAAATTTTAAATGAAAAACTAAACTGAAACATTGAAAAACCGAAACCAAAATTTTTGGTTATTTTGGTTAAAACTGAATTTCAACACTATATATATTTTAATATACATTATAGATATTATATATGTAATATATATTAAATATATATATATATATATATTGTTTAATATATATAATAAATTATAAATTTTAATATATAATATTTTATACATATTATATATATATATATATATATATCCGAAAAAACTGAAACCAAAAACCAAATAATGCTCACCCATAGAGGAGAGACACCTTTGGCTGTGTTTGGTTGCAATGCAAATTTATTTGCACCGATGCAAAAATTATGATAGTGCAAATGATTCTGATGCAAATTCTGATTTATTTTAATTTTAAAGTTTAGCTTATTTTGTTTGATTGCAAGTACAGATAAAGTAAAATAAGATCTGAAGCATAATAAAGTAAACCATAAAACAAAATTAATTAAACCAGAAATTGCATTCTTTTAATTTGCACTTCTTTGTATTTGTACTAGTACAAATAAAATTACACTGCAACCAAACTTGCAAAACAGGTATTCTTTTTGGTCAATCCTTTTAAACCAGCTAGATTAAGGTTATAAAACTTAGCAATTCTGTGTACAAACATGTATATGGTGTGGGATTACAGTGGGTGTTCTTTTATAATTTATGAACATAAACTTGATAAGCTACAGTGATTGATGGAAAACGATATAGGAGATCAGTCTGTCTTCTTGAAACAAAGCAAGTAACTTACAAATTAGGACATCTAATTTTGATTAATTAATTAATTAATATGATGTTGAGAAACACGTTTAGGGAAGAAAGTGTTAGAATGTCAAGAGTTTTTTCTTTTTCTTTTTCCTCCTCAACCATAAAAATACAACAGGAATGGATTTGCTGAGTTCATAGAAATATGAAGAGGAAATAAAAGACAAATTAAGGAATGGAGAATATTTGCATAAGAATAAGAGATAAAATTTCAAAGAACAAAAATCAAGACAATTTTACTTTTTTCATATTTGCTTCATCTGATAAATGCAATCAGTCGCATTTTTCTATTAATTTAGATTGTTCAAGCTTAATCCATAATTTGCAATTGTTAATAGCAAGGTTTTCAGAACCGGGCAGGTGATCCGGTACCGTTTTTTCTCAAAATCGAATTTTTACCAAAAAAATATTGATTTGGTCAGCAAACCGCTGATCTAGACGGTTGAACCATTCAAACCGTTCAACAGTTTGACCATTTTTTTTTATTTTTTATTTTTTTTGTCAAAACAGGCTGCCATTTGGTTTGTATGGTTGGACCGTTCGACCCAKGAACCAGACCCTGACCGGTTCATTG